AAGACAAGCTTTGAACAACGGGCGTAGTCGAATGGTGCACACTCGGTAAGTAATCCTATAATTTTTTGTTTATAGCATAGTTTATACAGATTATTCCCAAAAAATTATACGTGTTTTGGAAATGTTGAGTGGAATTAGTCTAGAATCGGTTAATTTTATAGAAGAAAACCTTTCAAACAGCCTTAGTCCGTAAAGTTCACACCTATCAGGCTGCGATTGGCTCATGTATTTAATCATTCCTACAACGTAAATTTCGATTAATGTGGAACGTATCTAAGCGTTATAGGGGGGGTCTACTGTATATATATTATATTATATATTGTCTTAAAATTCATTTCAATGTTTTGAGTTACTGATTAAAACTGCTCATTTTTTAAAAATAATTTTTGAATCAAGAATGCCTTCAATATGTTCATGTTTTCTTATGATCACAACTTGTCAGATAGCTGACTTTACATGATTTAATTCAGAAAATTAAAAAAAAAACTAAGTATGATTTTATATAATATATATGTATATATATATTATATTTAGAAACATTTCTTATAATCTTACAATTTGTAATTCTTCACTCGACATTTCTAAATCTTCTCCAAAAGTAGAACTTATATCATTATTTGTTATTATTGCATTGTTTTTGTCTTCTTTAGATTTTTCTTCGGTGAAATTTGTATTCAATTGTTTATTATCTACTTCTAATCTTGCACTAAAAATAAAACAAAAGCAATTTATTTAGTTTGGTAAATTAAAATTATTTTATTTAATTATTAAAGAGTCAAAATGCTAAAAATTTAATAGAATAAAGTTTAAAGCACCCAATTAAATAAAAATTATTAAATTAAAAGCAAAACATTTTTAATCTGTTGCAACTAAAAATTTCAAATTTTCAAAATTATTTATTTCTAATATAAATATTTTATTTACTTTGTTTTCAAATAATTGCTTCAATTTAGAACTTTAAAAAATTTAGAAAATACTTCACATAAATATTAATTATTAGGCAGTGTGTAAAACTAAAAAATGTTTTTATTACTATTACAGGTATTATACTGTACAAAATTCCAAAAGAGCTAAAAAAGAAAATTGACTGTGTTTTAGGTTCCAACTAATTTAATAGAAACTATTAAAATGTATCATAAAATTGGAAAATATGTTTATTTATTAAATGTATTTTTTTTTTTTTTTTTTCATCATAATCATAATCATCTTTATTTGGCGTAAAAGGCTTTCGCCTGTTACAAGGGCGTTTGATTTTTTTAACAATGCGTATTAACATCACATATAATCATGTCTTAACAACACTGATATATACTATTTACAGATCTATAGAGTTACATTAATATTTTGTTATAATTATCATTTAGTGAATTGTTTAACATAGTTATATAACATATAAATCGTGTTAGTATTAGCTCTGTCAAAAGTATTAAACATCTCCTTTTCACTATTACAGTTAGTCAGCAGTCCCATCTGGAGCCTTTGTAGTTTATCTTTTTCATTACAGCATTCACATATAATATGAACTCTAGATAACATTTTTGTACAATTTGGACATATAGTTTGGGTATAGTCTATATATTTATCGTTTATAATTATTCCATTTTTATTTAACCTAATCTGTATAAAAAACTTTTTGATGTTAAAAGCTAGATTCGTCCATATATAATTATTATTTACTGGGTAATTTAAAATTGTTGCATACCAGCTTGTATTCTCCCGTTTTCTTATGTCTTCCATGTCTTGAACGATGGAGAGCTCCATAGCTCTGTATATTATTTCTTTGCTATACTGCTCCATATTATGTGTACGATCCAACAACAATTTAATAGAGAATCCGTATTTATTTACTATCTTCGATAGCTGTATTATCCAACTTCGTCTTAAATCCGTTTCCCGGTCGCNTACTTAGTTAATAAAAAATAAAAAAATAACAATAATGCTGCGAATTTTCGCGAATTTCGTCGTAAAATAAAACTTATTCAATATATCTACGTAATATGCGATTATACACGTTTATGTTAAATTAATATTGCCGCGAGATGTCGCATATTGCGTTTTATAGTAAAGCTTAATTAATTTTTGTAATATGCGATTTTTGACGTATATTTTAGCTTAATTATTTTGAAAAATTTTGCTAATTGCGTTATAAAGTAAAACTAATATTATATATATTTGATATATCCGAATTTGCACGTATATAATAACTTAATCAATCTTATTTAATAAAAAATAAATATTTTTTATTAAAAATAAATTGAAGAAAAATAAATATTACATTTATTTTTCTTCAATTTCTGTTTTCCTAACAAATATATAGTAAATGTTTAGAGACCAAGTCAACAAATAAAAAATACAAAGACAAGATGGATAAATAATTTTTTCGTGAATAACAACTTAATTATACATTTCTTATATTTCTGTATCATATCCTCTACTCTTTTCATTGCAGCAAATCATTGTAAAATATTTTAAAGATTGAGATGGGTGTAATATAATGTTAGAATCAAGAAACTTCTGAGAGTATTTATTAGTAATGCTTCTCATCTGTTTATTAATTCTTAGAAATACTAAATAAAGAATCAAAACAAAAAAAGATAAATACTATTTTAAATAATGAAATTATTATAAATTAACAATAAATATTAATTTTGTTTATTTTGGCAAAAAATTTAATTTCCATATTAACATAAACATATCTAAGTAATAAATCTAATATGCGTACTGCTATAAATAAAAATTTATATAAGTTTATGTTTGTGATAATTTAATATTATTTTCAACTTAATATTCATTAGACTATTATAAAAAGTTTTAAATTAAACAAAGATTTTTGAGTTAGCAAACAAGCTTCCAAGTTGCCAAAATTTTTCTTTTTCTAATAATCAATATAATAAAGATTTACTCTAGAAAATCTGTAATTCCTAATATTTATAGTCTATTAATCTTATTGAAATTTTATTGAATAAGATTATTATTATATTTATAATATTGATAGTTTTAAAAAACTTTTAACTTAAATAATATCATTAATCTAGATTGTTTCATGCATTCATTTATCTTCAAATTTCTTAAATATATATTCAAAGTTAACCATTAAAAAAAGAATTCAGATTTATAAATAAATTTAATGTATTATGCTTTTTTTAAGAAAACAGGAAATTAGTGTAATTGTACCAGAAATTGGCATTATAAGTCTTTTTTAGATTTTATATGTTAAGAAACATGTAAATATACAAACTTTTCTTTATACAAAAACCTATATTGAAAGGTGAACTTTTATTTTATTGACAGCTAATTTCAAAATTATTAGAGAATAAATACTTTTTTAATTATATACATAATTCCAGTAATTGCTATATACAGTTAAATATATCTTGTATTTTAAATATAATTAAAAAAGTAATTTGTAATGTTTATAGTAACATTAATTACAAGTAGAACATTTCTTTAAAATAATTTTTTTTTAAATACTGAATAACTATAATATTTCACCAGCTAACTGACATTTCAAAATCTAATTCCAAAACAAAAGCACCAGTGACTTTCCTTTGGAATAATTCTTACAGTATGTGTTTTAATTTAATTCTCTAATAACAAATGTGAGGATCTGAATCCAGACTTTCAGTATGTTTATATCATTATCTCCTAACATCACATCATAGCTATACTTTTGTTAAATAACTGTCAACTTTTACACCTGGGAGCAAAACATCTATTAAGTTCTCAGGCTAGTAATGACACTTTCTCATCACCTTTCAACCTAATATTTCGATTTCAACAGTACAACATATAGAACAGAACAACAAAGTGGGGCAGTTGTTGCCAGTTCTTCAATCGGACTACTCAATTTAATTTTCCTGTGAAAACTTTTACATGTAACCTATGCTCTTTTTGTTTGGATACCTCATCATTTTTGGATACCTCGCCTAATATCTTGTCTTGCCTAATATCCAGGATAAAGTCAGAACTATTGGAATTAGAACTGTCTTGCTAAACTTTGTCTTACCGACTGGCTACTGATCAAGATATCATAAAAAGTATTTATTGCCATGCGTATTTACTGTAAACTCTCTCTGTCTCTCTCTCTCTCTAGGGAATCGTGGAACATTAAGATCTGGTTAATATATCTAATATCACTGGAACCACTGTATCTAAAATCTAGTATCATTAAGATCAAAATGTCGTATATCCTGTATGGCCTATCGTTATCCATTAAATAGTTGTTACGCTAACCCATCTTTGAATAAATCACTTACAGTGCACTATATCTACCTCCATCCGAATCTGATCGCTCTGTTACGCGACCGCTCGCATGACCTAGTTAGCGTGGCTTCCATGTCAAACGAGACATGGTGGTGTCATCCTGACAGAGCATCAAAGAGGTGACGACCCTTCGGTCACACAAATGAAGCAGCTGAACAGTTTATACATTTAACTAGCTTAAAATTTTTAATTTTTAAAATGTCAAAAACTGATACAGTTACTCTACTAAACCCATTAAAAGAATAAAATTCAGTCAATTATCTGCAATAATTTTTGCTATTATTATAATTACAAATCACATGAATATATCTGTCAATATCACAACAGAATTTAACTTTAGGATCAAGTTTAAATAATTTATACATAATAATATGATTATGATAAAGACTGTGATCTTAGAGAAATTAGTATCTTATCTAATGTTTGGAAATTATTATAACTTATAAACAACTTATTATGTAATTGTTAATTACATAATAAGTTGTTTATAAATAAATTCATCATGTATGGTAATCAGTTAACTTTTTTCGTGTAATTAATTTAATTATTAATTATTGCTCATGTCATTTTTAAATTACTTTACATTTAATTAATTTTAAACTTTGCAATTATTGTGTTTATATGTAACTGTTTTAGGAGCTTGTCTTTAGACCTGAAGATGACTACTAAAAACAGTTAAAAACATTTGTTTTATTTATTTATTAATTTATTGTTGAATTTAAAGATTGTTGTCACTTTTCTTATTAACACTACAAAGTTATCTAGAGAAACATTCTATGATAAATAGTGTTGAATACAAAGTAGATCATAGCAAGTCAAAGTAAAAAATAGCATTGATTCTTTTCCAAAGACATCACTTTATTACATGAGAATCCAAGTGATATTCTACTGCTCACAGAATTGAAATTTCAATCTTTCATCTACTACTTCTAGAAGTCATAATACATTCTCTACCAAAGTGTAATCTAATCCATATGACTTTTATCAATTCATAACCTAAAATATTTCTGTGAATCAGCTAATGACAATAAGATTATAAATGCTCCTAATTGAATTCAAGTCACATCAAAAAACTTTTCTTTTGTATATTTACATATTTTTGAAGTTACAAATCATTCCATTATACAGGAGTATGTCAAAAACTGTTATCAGTATTGATCATCAACTAAAAAACTAAAACTAAACAAAAGTAAAAAAAAATTTTTGAAATAGAGAAATGCATGAAATATCTGAATAAAAATTTATTGTTACTTACAGTTTTTGCCTATCAAAAGCTCGTTTTACTCTGATGGCTCTTTGCTCACTATATACTTTGCAAACCACTGTAATAAGAAAGATAAAAAAATATATATGTGTGTGTGTGTGTGTGTGTTTCATATTAATTTATTTAGATATTCAATCACTTTATTTCTCAACAAAAGCCATTTATACATTACATAATACAAAGTGTTCCATTCAAATTTCAAACTTTTTCTCTTAATAAAACAATACTCATACTCTCAACAATCATTTACCAAAATTTAATCCCTTTATAACTTTTAAGAAATTTACAGATTTGTAAAATATTTATTTTGAAACTCTCATTAATAATAAAACAATATGTTAAGTATATCATAATTTTACTAATAAAATTATTATTTGAAAAGATAATATAAATTTTATTTTTAAAAATTAGATTAACAAGTGTAATATCTTACTTTTTAAAAAAGAATCTAATATTGCAATAACACCTTCTCTATGTTCAAGTAATTGAATTGAAGAAGTTTGCTTTTTAACTGAAAAATAAAGTTATTTAAATAACTGATTACTTCATTATTATTATCATTATCATTATTAAAAATGTATACAAAATAAATCTGAAACTATTTTAAATAAAATATGTATGTAGAATACATTATAATATACTTAACTAAATTTAACATAGGTGTTAGAACTGTATAACACTGGTGAAGCACCTAAGAGACTTTTGAAAATAAACTTTTATTGTACTTTATTGTTATTGTTTTATAAACTTTATTGTAAAATTGAAAATTTGAATTAATATTGAATAGATTGAGAAAACTCTAAAATTGCAGTTTTAATACTCTTCTGACCAATAAATAGATGGTGCATGTATGAAATGTTATCAGTATGGATAATCAACTAAAAAACTAAAACTAAAGTAAAAAAAAGTTTTGAAATAGAGAAAGGTATGAAATATCTGAATAATAAAAATTTATTGTTACCTACAGTTTTTCCCTATCAAAAGCTCATTTTACTCTGATGGCTCTTTGACAGCCTTTGATAGCCTCATGTCTTGCAGGCATATCTTATATGCATGATCAGTGGGAAAGCTAATACATTGAGCAATATTCAATAGCAGTGAGTCTAACTTCATGTGTAAATGAAACTGTATGCTCATATATGTTCATTACTATTTAGTAATAGTTTCAGTTTCATTAACAAAATAAGTAAAGTAAAAAATTAAGTATATCAAACATTGCAAAGTCCAACATGTATATAGAAATATAACCAAATGAGTGCCTTAAATAATTGGGCTATAACTCTGCTAATTTAATGATAATACTAAGTAATTTACTACTAGAGGTAGACATTAGGTGCCATCTCTTAACTAATTAATAATTATAATTTTAATAATTTAATAAATAATTTAGAATCATCTGGAAGAAAAGAACTGACCCAGGGCAGAACTTGAACCCACAACCTTTGTTTGTCATGCAGTGTGCTTGCTAGTTGTGCCATCCATAACTGAAGCTAGCCTTCACTTCCAGATGTATTTAAATTTAGATATAACCTTATGTAGTTAATCACAGTGCTGGCTGGGAACAACTCCTATGCCCACAGCCTAAGTACAGCTCCACAAAGCTCGCTGAGTGCCATTGGTTGGAAGCAAAGGCTAGTTTGGGGTCCAGGTGGCACAACATGGCAAGTGAAGGTTAAAGGTTCAAGCTCTGCCCCGGGTCAGTTCTTTTCTTTCAGATGATTCTAAATTATTTATTAAATTATTAAAATTATAATTATTAATTTAGTTATTATTATTATTTGTTTAACCACATTCTCAGCTCAGTATTGAATGTCATAAAAATTTGTATTAAAATTTTTAATATTTGTTTGATTTACTGTAAACTTTTTATGTAGCATCTACCATATTTTTGACTTTACCTATATTTCATGAAAATTTCTTTCGTAATAATTTTTAAAAAGTCAAAATAACCTAAAATCTTCAAAATACTTTATTTCACTGTTCTAATGAAGACATTAAAAGATAAAGTTTTCACAAACTCTTAAGTGCTTTAAAACCTTTCAATTCTTAATCAGAGATTTTAGAAGAAAGGGTAAAAAGATATAATTTTATGAAAGTTTTTTTGAATACAGTAGACTCCTTCACATCTAGTCCTCCCATATCCAGACTGATCAAAGACAACCAAAAATTTTTGAAAATATTGTAAACTGTTACAAATTTTACCTTTCCATACTACATTTATAAAAAAAAATTTTTTATTAAGATTACCTTGAAGTCTGTAGAAGAGCACAATGCATCAATCACTGCTGATGTGCTAATGATGAGGCTTTAGCATGATGTAGCAGCTCATAAGCAAATCAAGAAGAACAAAACAAGAAACTTTAATACAATACTTTCAAAATTAATTGTAATTATCAAAAATAAGTGTCAAAGTCAAAATAAATATTTTTTATACATAGAGTAAGTATGTATGTTACAGTTTTATTTAAAAATCATCATAGTCCCATATCTGGATTTTTTAAATATCTGGATCCAGTGCTGGCCCAAGGCAAGTTTTAGGATGGAGCGAGATCCTATTATGGCGCCCCCCCTTGGTTGCCTCTAATTTATACCCTTTAATTTACTTTACCACTGAGGTGCCTCTAGGACTTAGCACCTGGAGCGGCTGCTCCGTTTGCCCTATGGTAGGGCCTGCTCTGTCTGGATCACTCCCACCCACATTACTTCAGATAAGGGAGAGGATATGGGAGTCTACTGTATTAACATTTTAAAATTTTCCCTGAATCAAAAAGTTTGCAATTACTTGGAATTTTGTGAATATTTATATTTTTTATTGTCTTCCAATAAAAAGTGAAATAAATTATTTTTAAAAAATTATGCCTACTTTAATTTTACAAACAAAAAAACACCTATGGAACTTACGAAAAATAAACTTTGACTGTACTTGTGATTTAATATGGGAAATAGTGTGTTTTGAAATACAGTATTTGGAATAGCAAATGTTTATGGCAATTGCATTTCCATTCATGGAGAAATCATTAATTGAATTCACTATTTTTTCAAGGGCAAAAAATGCCCTTGGAAAAATAAATCTGGCACTTTATCTGACATGACTGGAAAAATATTGTTTATAATGTAACACTGTAAAATGTATATAAATGTTTTCAATAAAAACAAGTTAAAAACTTAACAGTTGTATAGTGTACATAAATACATATTTTTATTTAAGTTATAATTTCACAAAAATTAACTGACAGTCCACATTGTTTGACATTTCATCCTACCCATTTCATAACAATTGGCCTTGCCATTGCTAATTAATAGTTATAACTAAAATTTGGTATAATTTATAAAGTATGACACAAAATAAAATTTAAATTATTCTGTTAAAAAATTTCATCATAAAATCATGTAATGTTAAAATATATCATCATTCTGCTTTATTAATTTTATAAGTAAAATCTTAATCAAATATTGCAAACATAAAATTTTTCAGTTTTCAATTTATCTAAATGCAGGATGATTCAATCACTAGGAAACAAACATTTCTTAATAATATTTTTATTGCTTTATGGTTTTTTATGAGGCCATTTTCAACATTGCTTTAGGAAACCCTTGTTTTGTAAAATACAAGATAAATGTACGTAAATATTCATATAAAACCATAAAGCAATAAAATAATTATTGAAAATGTTTGGGTTTCCTAGCAAGATAATCACTCACTAATGAGTAACTATATTGCTTTACGTAAACATACTTTATTGTATTCTTTCATTATTGTTTACCTTTTTCATAAAAATACCCATTTGATAGTTTTATTAATTATTTTCCACTTACACACAATCAGACATTCATAAAAACAATGTGGAATTAATATAAAAACCTTTGAAGCTAATGAGAAATATCATTATATTTAATAAGAAGTGTTATCTTGTTTTTATTTGTAAAAATATCTCAACTTTTATATCTACATATATATCAATAATAATAATGAAATTATTAATTATTATTTACTTATTTACAAAATACCATGATCTGAAATTATATATATGTAGAGAAAATTTTGAATTAGACATTGAAACACTAATGTCTAATTCAAAATGATTTAATTAACTGAATGTTTTAATATACTAGTTTAATTTAATATAAAGTAAAATACATCACAAATGGATATGAGTCCAATTTTTCTTGCCATGTCCAATCACCAGAAACAACTATTTCCATTGCAGAGACAACCTTTCTTTAGAGGCTATGCCTCTGCACAAATATGCAAAACAGTTTAAAATGTCCGCAGGTGAACAATCCCAACACAATTAAAAATATAATATTTCTTTGTAGAAAAGGGCTGGCAGAATTACAATTTAATAAAAAGTAAAATACTAGTTTAATTTCACAAATAAAACTTTATTAAATATTCAATAATATAAAATTAGATTATACATACTTTCTTGATGAAGATTACGAAGAATTTCTGTGCATGTTAACATAAACGCCTGAGCATCATTATCAATTTGATCTCTTTCACTGTCTGTCATATGAGATGCATCATACATTAAATGACTGAAATATTAAAAAATTTAATAAGCAAAAAGTTTTTTAATTTTATAAACTTGAAAACTATATGCAATATAAGAAATAACTCATTTATAGTGGTTTACCATGAAACTAATTAAAATATCAGAAATTCATTTTATAGTGACTTCTTTCATTTAGATCAGGGATCACCAAACTAAAGCTCGCAGGCAGGATCCAGCCCACGAGGTCAGCTTATCCAGCCCTCCACCACACTGTGCCACAAATGAGCTAAAATATAATTATTTATATGGAAATATCATAGATTGTAGATAAAATTACTATGTAGAAAAAATTAAAATAAGTGTAAGTAAAAATGCCAAAATTCGTCAGTATGATTTTTGCATCTGAAAGTAATATAATTTTTAGGAAAATCAGTGAAATAAAAAATTTGGTAACTTTTTGCAACTTTGGATATCAGAGTGCATTTTGTACATTACCTGCAATGAAGTTTCAAAGAAAACCAATTATGAGCTTGCTGCAGCAATTGTGTTTGTGTATTGGTCAGGGCTGTGGAGTTGAAGTCATCAAAAATTCCTCTGACTTTGTTTTACTTTCCCAACTTGTTATGTACAGTACAGTCGACCCCCCCTACAACGCTGTTGATTATTCTGTTTTATATGAATTCCATGTTGTACAAGTCACTTAGATTTTACAAATACATGAGCCGTTCGCAGCCCAGCACACATATTTGTAAAATCTAAGTGACTTGTACAACGTGGAATTCATATAAAACGGAATAATCAACAGTGTTATAGGGGGTCGACTGTACATAAAAAACGAAAAAGTATTTGAATCATGTCTCATTTGGTCCTCCAAGTTTTTTGCAAATCTGTATGTTTGGAGATCTCTCAAACTCAAAAAATGTCAAATAAAAGGAAAAATTTGTGCACGTATGCATGTTGGCATCTAATCTGCTTAATTTCTTTATTCTGTTCTAAAATATTAAACAACATCTCAGAATGAGTAAAGTTTAAGAAACAAAATTTGGCACGGTAGCATGCGTATAAAGGCATTAATTCTATTAAATTTTGGTTCTTAATTAAAGGTTGACAGGGTAGACATAGAAGGGGTCATGTCATATCTCCAGTGTGGTTGGACTTAATGAATGTTTTACTCATTATTCACATTCACAATCTTATAATCAAGATGGGTTCATAATATCACAGTTCAAATGGTTAGGAGTTGAAACTTGAAATTTGGTATACAGTTAGGATACATCATAAGAATATACATTAAAAAGGGATTTTTCGAAATTCCTCTCGCAGGGGGAGAGGGAGAGGGTTATTGATTACCCTGAAGAATGATTGTACTGTAATATTTTAGATGTGGGTTTTTGCGTTTTTGTGGAAAATCGAACATAATTTTAGTCTCAGAACATAACTCTAATTAGTCTTAGAAGAGGGGACCTAATTCTTGCCCATGGTAAAAACGGGTAAGATCAGCTATAATCTAATAATCTTAATCTTCATTACCGTTACTTTTTGCCCAAGCAACATCTGGTTCATCTACTAGTTTTTTTCACAAAACTCGTCTTTACCCTCAAAATTAAGTTTGAGTACAGACAGAAAAGGAAATCTTACAAAATTTGAAGATGATATTTACTATGCACTGGAAAAAATAAGTCACATTGACAACTCTTCAAGTTCGGATGTTAAAACAGTCATACTGCACCATCCAGACATTATCCAAGATATAACATTGATTGTCACAGCATTGCCACCAACCAAGTTTCAGTAGAGCGTTTATTTTCTGCTCTTAAAATTATTAAATATGATTAAAGAGCTTGTCAGTGAATGCTGACTTAATAGAAATGATTCTTATTGTAAGAAGTAATTCAATTTATAAGAGATGAAAAATAATAAACTAATCAATATGGCAAAATAAGTAACCTTTTTCTTTACCAGTCTAAATGCTATATTTCTTATTCTTGGCTTAGTTTAATGTATCTGTATACTCAGGGCCGCCGTAAGCGGGCGTGCAAGGCGTGCACCGCACACGGGCGGCACGTCCAGGGGGGCGGCAAAGAGCCTTTCTGGCAAGCTCAGCATAGGTAGTCGTAGTTAAACAGGGGGCGGCATAATCGGTATTGCACACGGGCGTTCAAACAGCTAGCGGCGCCCCTGTGTATACTTATATATTATGTACATTTTTATTAAACTAATTTGTTTGAATATGAATGTATTTACTATTTTTATTCATACATGCTTACCAAATACCATTGCCATCATCAAACAAGTCAATAAATGTGAATTTATATATTCAGTTGATCTGTCAAATTTTCATGTTTAATTAATTTTTTAAAATCGTTTTATTTTGTATTTGTTAAAATAATCAGAATTGTCATCATTATTACTTTCCCAGCTGTTATAAAGTATATGCCTATAATAAAGGAAAAGAATGACAATCAGTCAGAAAATGATTTTCCCAGAATTTTTCTCTGTTAGACTCTGGAAGCCTCAAAATGTAGAAAAATGCAAAAACATTTGGGGTTTTTTCTGTATGCACGGATGTTAGAATGTATACCAAACAATTTAGTTCAACCATTTTGAAAATTAATAACTCCTGTGTTAAACCATCTGACTCCAATTCAAAATTATGTTCCCATACAGTCTAACATTCGTACATACAGGAAAAAACCTGACTCTTTTGCATATCTCAACATTTCAAGGTGTCCTGAGTCCAAAATTGTAAAAATTTGGGCTGGGATCATTTTTTGACTAATCACTACACTTTTCCTGTTATATATAACAGCCAGGAAAGTAAAAATTATCGAATACATATTTATATATTAACTATGTCATTATTTAAAGGAATCTTTTAGCTTTAGAATAAAAAAGTTTCTACATTCTATCTTTATTAGAACTATATTTATTGAAACTTATGTTATGAGGTCACATGATAACATCAGAATTTTTGGGCCTACCTTGTTAACAAGTCTGTCCCTCGTCAGAGTTGGAGTCCAATGGTAAAGAAAAGTCAGAGTTGAAGTCATGTAAAAATCTATTGACTCCACAGCCCTGATATTGGTAAATAAATATGTTAGTTGTCTTTATTTTTTGTAATCAGTGTGCTGTATTGAACAAAATGATTATGCAGCCCACACTTGTCATTCTCTCAGTTATGTGGCCTGCTGTGAAAAAGGTTTGATGACCCCCTGATTTAGATTGATGGTCCCCAAAATGAGTGCAACTCTCTCCTGGAGGTCGACCCCACCTAGAGTCATTGAGTAAACCTAGGGGTAAAAAAAAGCAAGGGCAGCAAGGGCATTAGAGTCAGGGTCCTGACCAAATAGTGATCATAGGCAAGGGTTGAGTCACTGACAACCTTTCCCTTTCCTCCATTAAAATGGATAAGAAGAAACATTATGTTTAATGATTTCCAGATATGGAGAACAATGTAGTTAAGGACACAAAGTTTGAGGTTCATAGAAAAGTTTCTCTAAGAATATTTCCAAGCCTCTCCCACAGAAGGTTAAGGGGAGTTGGGGGTACAGATGGAAGGTGTTGGGTATAAGTTTATAAAACAAAGGAGGTGGGAAAAAAGGAGGTGGGAGGTGGGAGGTGAGTAGCTCAAAAAGGTTTGGGAATCACTGATTTAGATAAATAAAAAATTATTTTTTATTAACAAAAAAGCATTTCAACTTTATAAATTAAAGACTTTTTTTTACACTATTTTATAATTATTTAAATTATAAAATAGTGTAAAAAATTAATAATAAATTAAAATAGTGTAAAAAATTAATAAAATATTAAATTAATTTGAGACTAATTCTTATTACAGAAAAAAAAAAATCCATGACATGACATTAAACAAAAAAAAAATATAGTCATTAAAATAATTATTTATTGAGTATAATCAATTCAATTAATAATATTGCAAAGCTCATTCATTCACTCATTGTTAAAACAAAGAAAATTAATATGATAATTTTGTATCAATATCATATATAACAATAAAATTTTTTTTCTTAAAATTATTAATTGCTAAAGTTTTCCTTCAGTTTTCCTAAATTTACACACCAGAATTATAAATAAAGATTCAATCTTAAATCAATTATCAGCATTAAGCTTATATTTAACAACTCATATGATTTAAATCAAAAAATAATGTTGTAAACATTTGACAACACATTCTAGAACTAGCACATATGGTATGTTACACTTCTTTTTCACCCTTAATAACACTATTTGTGTACAGTACAAGAGGTGTTTCCATACGCAGCCCCATTTTGGAGATCTTCTGTGAAGTAGTTGTTCATTGATTGGAAAAAGAAATTCTATCAAGGTTTCTACATCATATAATAGTTTATACTAAGTATATTGATGATATTTTTATTTTGTGGTGCAAGAAACCAGACCTCAATCTTTTTCTAAATAAACTCAATGACAATCCGTATGGTCTTCTAAAATTAGAACAAGAAAGTGATACTTCAGTACATTTTTTCACATATCTATCTATCATCTTCAAAGATGGTGAAATCAACACTAATATTTACTGTAAACCCACATAGCTATCTGTTTTCATTCCGCACATTCTTATGATCTGCTATCTTTAAAACTCAGCATTCAGGTCCTTAATACGACAAGCCAACACCCATTGCTTTCATATCATCAACATGTTGTACATTGAACTGAATTATATTGAAAAAATTTTCAAACATGGATTTCTTACAAAATTGATATGTAATTTAATTAACATCTTTAAAAACATAAGAGTTACATCTGCCCAACTGACATCTAAGATGAGAGTTGCATTACATTATTTTCCCAAATTAAAACAAATACATAAAGAACTAGCCAATATGAGCAATGTAAACATTGTATATTGTAATCCAACAGTCTTTGGAATTCTACATAATGACAAGGATTCTATCAGCCTCAATATAAGGATAAAATGGGAAGAGGCTAGAGATCATTAGACCAACTAAGAACCCTACTGTCATACTTGTGTTCCCACACCCTTTTTTGAACAGAGCATTTGATGGAACCAATGTACTCCAAATCTCCCTTACTGGAACACTGTAAACACCTGGGGCTCTAAGATCATCAGATTTGTCCTTTGCATTTCATAATAATAATAATAATATATATATATATCAATTGGGACCTTTTGTAAGCCAACTTGGTACCTGTTATGCCAACTATTTCTTTATATAAGGCATGTAAGTGTTGGTTGTGTTGCAATTCCTAGTTCTGTTGGAAGTCCTTTGGGTAATGGGGTTGCTGCACCTGGCCCGTTGGTTGCAGTAGGTATATGCCAAACCACGTATTAGGTTTCTTCTGTATTCATGTTTTATCGCAATGTCCTCAAGATATTGTAGCTCCATTACAGTGTCCTCCTAATGTTCCAAAATAACTGCTTCAGGGTTGATCTCAAACCTGAATCAGTCCTTGGGTAAGGTTGAAAGCATTTGTTGGATGTTTTGTTAAATGTTTTTGTTGCTGGACTTAATGGTTCATTTATGGTTATCATGTGTATCACTGGTTTGCATATGACATGTATGTAATATGTATGATATAATATCAGTATGGCAGCTTCTTGAATAATGTATTGCTAGTGATCTTGGGTTATTGGGTTTTATGGTAGCCTACCTACTTATGCTATCATATGTAACCGTAAGCAAGTCATCAGCAATGTGGGTGACCCACACTCAGAAATTTCTAGTTACTTCCTGAATATATATACAGTATATAAGTAATTTTAGTTAAAAATAATTTTACTTTTGTAAATTGCTTTCATAGAACATCATTATTTATCCTAATGATGACTTTGAAATTAATTTTTTTCAAAATCTTTTCTCTATATTCTGGGGAGTGTTCCTCTCAAATTTTGATGAGTTGAATTTTACATTACTGCACAAATATAAAATTAAAAATAGTTTAAGTAAATAGAAAGTGCTCTGATATGTAGAAATTTATATTTAAAAAGTAACTTAATTCTTTAATAATTTATTACATAACATGGTTTAAGCAAGTATTCCCTTCATTTAACTTTTCTGAGCAAAATAAATTTTCAAAAACTATTGCCATAGTTTTCATTTATATAAATAATCTTCATTTTTATAATTTACTCGAATTCTAAACATTCCAAAAGACAGATTAATAAATTTTAATATATATGTTCATAAATTAAAATTAATTAAAAAAACTAAAAATTAACAAAATTTAAAAAAATAATAATTAAGATTAAAGAAAAGAAAAGAAAACAAAATAAAATTAAACTAACTATAGCTTAAAATTAATGAAACCATTCTAGAATTTAAATTTAAATCAATTAATGTGCTGTATTTTGTTCTTTGAACTCTTTTGTGATCTGAAGATGAGATGTAAATCATCTTAAAAAACATTTTAACACAAAAAAAAGGTTCCTTAAAAGATTTTTAGTATTTTCAGTTTTTGGATTTATCGATGGAATCATTTGTTACAAAGGATATTCTTTTTTATATTTATTCTATAACAGATATTTGAAATGCATCCTATATAATCATTTCTGTGGTTCTCATAAACAGGATTTTGTAACAAGTGCAGATATGTTTATTTAACCATTTTAAATCTCAAAGACTTTTTTGATACAAGTTGTTACCAAGCAATATCTAGATCACTATCATTTAACAGTTGCTCAACTTTAAGCCATATCATAAAATACATTTAGTAAATCATTTCTCTTAAAAAAGTTATAATATAGAAATATTTTCTAAAAAATATTTAGTAGTGATAAATGTTAATGACACCTGCAGCTTCCAGAATATGTTTTATGGTTCAAAACCTTTAATACATTATATTTAATATCCATTTTATAATTGTGTGTATAACTATTAATAAAAACAAATATTTTAAAAAGCTTTTAAATACTCACTTAATATTTATATATTCCTTACGATGTTCCATTAAGAAATCATGCATTTTTGATATGCTTGTTAGCTATAAAAACATAACTTTTATTAAATAACAAAATTAATTTTAATATATTAATGAAATATATATAGTTATATACACATTGCTGTGTTACAATATATAACAGATCAAAATCTAAACTGTTAGTGGAGGTTTTAATAAGTACACTACTCATAATGAATACAACACTTGGACAGAAATAATTTTAGTATATTTGCAGTTTTACTAAATGTAGACAATTTACATGTTGCTTTCTGAAAATTACATATTTGAAACATATTATTTACAAAACTCAAGAAAAGAGAAAAAGTATATTTGTTTTTGAGAAATGAAAGATTGATCACTGGACCAAACGGCCACAAAGTCCAGCAGTTTCAGCTGTGATTCAAGTCTCTGTCAAGAATAAGCTGGGCTCAAAGACGATGTGCTCCATTGTTTCAGTTGAGTTTGTCACACAATAATAATAGACTATTTAAGAGATACTTTATTTAGTCAGGTAACTATTAATATTGCAATGATCTGTTAGTATTTGAGTCATTGAATAACTTAGGATAGAAGATGAAAAATAAAGTGTCTTATCAACTCAAAAAATTTTTTCTTATTGTCAATATTAAGAAAAAATTTTGGATTGTTACACCTTTGAATGAGTTTATCCACTGATTATTCCTAATATGAAGGGTGTGTTTAGAGGTATAGTTATTAAGTCGAATACAGGATGTACAGTACTTTAGATCCAGAATATCATTGCTTGCTGCTAATTTGGCTGTCTGGACTGCTATTTCATTTTTTGTTTCTGATATATCCCAATACAAAGTAAAAATTAATATTAACATTAATGGTGTCAAGCAGATATTGGATATATGTAAATTTTGGATGTTTTGTAGCTCTGTCTTTTAATTTAGACAGAACAATCTGGAGTCAGAGTAGACATCAATCACAACAAAGTTTGGAAACCTATTGAATTGCTTCACAGACTGTATCAAGTTCCATGTGGAAAATTTTGGTGTAAGCCATACACTTGAATTCAAGAATATAAAGGGTTGGAAACTTACTTTAAATATATATGTAGACTAGCATCAGCAGTTATGTTATTTTTAGAGCCATTTGTATACAGCAATATATCATCACTTCCTTGAGTTGAGAGATCTAGGCATACATTCCTTCTTCAGTAGTATGATGGGCAAGAATAGACAATCCTGCATTTTGATCTGGAAAGTAAGTTGAGAGAAGTGGCTTGTAATAGGCCCAGATAGTTACAGTTGATGTAATCTGACCTAAGGTAATATTTAAATATATTTTCTTGGGCTACAAGTGACCAAGGAATTAAATTAGTAATCAAAAGTGCTTATGTGAATGCCATTTTGTAGCTTTTTGAAACTTTTTGCACAAAGATTCTTTGGGTAATAAGGACTTTCTTTCAGAAACTATTTTCTGCAAAACACTGTCCAGGAACAGGCTGCATAAAGAACCATGGGTTGCACAGCTCCTTGATAAAGGATTTTCAATGCATTGGATTTTAGGTCCCATGTATTTCTAGAGCATCTGATTAATTGATTTTCCAACCATTTGGCTCTGCTAGAATGTAGTCAATATGATAGTTGTAATTCAGCTCAAGTATCTATTTCTGTGATCCATTCTATCTTCGTTCAAATACATTTTACGACAAAGTATTTGAATTTTCTGTTACAAAGTAAATCTTTGGTCTTTATTGGATTGAAAGTTAGATTTAGAGTATTTTCAGTTTCCTCTATTTGTAACAAGATTTTCTATATCTTAGACTGGATATCTGAAGGTATTCTGTCATGCAAGCCAAAGTTACATTGTCTGCATAAATAGTAATTAGCACAGTCAGCTGTGTCAATTGACAACAGTGGATTGAGCAAAGTATTCCAAGGAAAGGAGACAGAATAACACCCTGAGGAGTGGATTTGGTAAACAGGACTTCTTCACTTCAGGAAACTAATTGGTACAATCATTAGACTTCAGGAAACTAATTGGTACAATCATTAGAATCAAGAAAGTATATTTTCATTACATGACACATTCTATATTTTTAATATAAATATTTAACTTAAAGTAGATTATATAATACCACAGCAGTTCAAAAATAATTTTTTCATTAAGTATCACTGTTCAAAAAAATTTTTAAATATGAAATGATAAAAATTGCACCAATTATTTGATAAATTTTCAAGAAATATTTTTTTCTAATCAGCTATAATGTTAACTATACTTATTAAAATATTTTCTCAATCTATTACTAAACTTACAACAATAATATTATATTTATTAAATTAATTAATTAATATAACAAATTAAGAAATGATTGATAGTATCAGATGTATTTTTTACTTAGGTTTGATATAAAGTAACTGCACAAATAATATCAGAGAGAAAATTATTTGTAGGATTAATTTCATATATTAGTAAGTTTGAATAAAGGTTATAAAAAAACTAATATAATATAATCTGCTTATTGTAATCATGGAAATTGTTATCAATTGCTTAATATTATCAGAATTAGCATGTCACAAAACACACAAGTTAAAATACACTTATAAAATTTCATTTAATGATCAGAGTTTTGGTCATTGTTGTCATTATATTCAAGTAAATAAACATTTTAAAACTGTTTTCTGCACTATTAGTCTCATCATGTGGATGATAATATGCAATCATTTTAATTATTTGCTTACAGTAGTTTAAATTATAGCAAACAAGAAACAACCTTCCTTACTTCTTTCCAGCAATTATTTTTATTAAAATAAACATTTTTAATCTCATTTAGGAGTCTGCTTCAGGTTTTAAACTATTATTAAAATGTAAACAAGGAATTAAACTAATAACAGATTTACCAAGAATTAAAAAAAAAAAAGTTTACAAGGGAATAATATGAAATAAAATAAAATGGATATGTTTCCAAACATGACTAGAACAAATAATATTGTATGTTTGGAGTAAAGAAGGTTTCTTGTTTGTTAGAACATTCCTGCTTCTGAGGTGTCTTTACATAGTTTAAATTATTTTTATTTCTTGCTTCAATTACATATTGGATAATTTATTAATTAATAATTATAATTGTCGGAGGTCCACCCCATTTTTAGCTCCCACAAAACAGAAGTGTCCCGCATTTGAACCTAACACATCTGATCACTTTAATCTAATATCTAATAAACAAAACAGCCATAAATGAGCAAAAGTGAACAGTTCTTGATAATTAAATATATTCTAAATCTGCTAATTACCAAAAATTTACTAAATTTTATTATAAAATCAAAAGAATATTTTTAACAAACAAATAAGCAAAAATTATTAAAAATTAAAGAATACCTATTCAGAAAACATTGAAAACTAATTTAAAATATACAGATTACATAAAATACATCAATTAGAATTATGCCAATCATTGTACATACATTTATTATAAAAAGTAATTTTATATATCTGATTATTTTTTACTATATAAATATGTATACAAAATCATTAATTTTGTAAAAAATATTAACCTGAAATTGACTTTATGCTATAAAAGTTTAACTGTAGAAATCAAATATGAATGGACTCTTAAGATTAAACATTAATTCTTTATTATTATATGAAATTTATATTTAAGACTATAAATATATTTATAAAATTAAGGAAATACTTTGGTTATAAACTTTTTTTGAATGATTCATTTAATTATAAAAATTATTGATGAAACTTCATGAAAATAGTTAATTTTTTACATTTAAGACAGCAAATGATTGTCAAATATTATGATGAGGCACACTGGTGAACCACAAGAAATGGGCTAAATATGCCATAAATATTATGGAAGTAAATTTTAAAAACAAGATGAAACCCATTTGTGTACAAAAATTTATTATATCCATGATCAAATAATAGCTAGGTTAGGTCTATAAAGTAACAGTTATTATAGTACTGTACATAGCATAATTTAAACTATATTAATACATTTTAATTTTGTATGGTGTGTGCCAGAAAAATTTTGTTTCACAGTGCACTACAAACCAAAAATGTCAGAGAACCATTGATATAAGATATAATGATGAAAAAATAAATATATGTAACAATAGACCACTGTAGAACAAATGGGGTTATAGCTGCATAGCTTTTGGAATACCATGTCAAAAAATTAATTTAATAATAGTATATTGTTTAAGAGGAGTAAACTAATTAAAGTAGTAATTAGTATAATTAATATTAATTAAAAATACTGATTGTGATACCAACTATCCAAGTTAGTAGTGCAGCACTATCTCACACCACTTAGGAACTGGGTGGCAATACTCAGGCATTGTGAGGAAGTGGGCCTGGTGTACATTTGAGAGGTCCTCCTCACCAAGCTGCTGTCTCCTTGCAACTACCCCACCCTCAAATTGCCTGACGTTTGGATTAGTTTGTACAAATGGTTAAAAAACATCAACATTAGTTCTGCATCTACCTCCCCCACTGCAAATTAAGGCACATATCTGTCAATGTCACACGTTTCAAATTAACTTGTTCTTAATGTTATGTTATGTTCCAAATGGCTAATGCCATTATCATTTAAATTTAAACCCATTTGAAATCCGTTTGTTTTCAATTACTGCCTGAAGATGACATTCATATCCATGTCGAAAGCGCTAGCCAGAAATAAAATGTTCTTTAAAACCCTCCTTAACGCCTTTGGTGTAAATTTTCACTTGAGTTAGAACAATTGTTGGCGTGACATCCACAGTACGTATGTAAATTACCTTACAAAATACTAACTAATCTTAATTATTGTAATTATAACCATAATCTTTATTTATAAATCCAGTTTGTAATAAACATTAACATAAATAATAGCAAATGTTTTAAAGAGTAGACCTAAAAGCAATTTGGGATCCTAATTGCTTTTAGCTTCAAGTCCTAAAAATCCACCACTGAGTATATGATTCTGAGGTAGGTGCTTCTCATTTGCTATGACGCATTATTATTGTAAATAAATAAATCAATATTTTGATTATATTTCTGGTAAAACCTATACATTGTAAAATTACTATTGAAAAGAATATGATACATTGGATAAAATAAATGATAAAATTTTACTTTGTCATAAAACTATTTGTTTAGCTTACTACAGAGGAAAGAGAATTTATCAATTTGATTAATTGATCCTACCAAATAACTATAATTAATCTAAGGAATTTTTTATATAGTAAGGGGTTAAGGCTTTTATTTATAAACAAATTAAAATATTTGTTTGTAAGGAAGTAGATTTTATATTACAGCTGCAGACATTTATTTATAATAAACAAACTGCTCAACCAGCTTAATCTAATTATGAATACAATCATGTTTTAACACAGTGACCTCCAAAGTGGGAGTACTAGATTCTTGAGGATATGCAAATTATCTACCTGTGCTCATATTTAAAATCATAAAAAAAATATTTATAAAAAGAATTCAAAGTAGTTAATTTGTGAATTTGTGAATTTGAAAATATGAAAAAATTTGTTTTATATTATAAGCTTATTTGACTGTTATGTATAATAAACATTACTGTATGACTCACCAACTGCTTTCAAAAGCTGGATAGTTTAATCTAAGCACCAAAAACCATATCCAAGTGAAAGATTAAACTCCTACTGATGTGTAAATAAGACTTTTGATGAGTATATTACTGTATAGCTCATATGTATATATTATACAACTTTTTATTCTTTCAAATAGCTTTCGTAAGCTTTTGATTTTGTGGTTTTTGCAAAAAAGGTACTCTATATTCAGTAACATCAATCAGCATAATGTTCCCAATTTTATCAATGGTCTACATCAATAACACATGTCCTTACATAATTGATGGATAAATATTGAAAAAGAATAACCAATTTTCTATTTGGTTCAATGTAATGCTGTAAAGTTGCTTTTTCAGTTTTGATAGAAATTAAAACCAAGTATGGAAATAAGCTGTTCTTGAAATAAGATCTGTAAATTGCCATTATGGAAAACAACAAATCAACATATATATAAATAATGAAAAACATTCAGTCATGCTGTTCACATTAATATTTTCATATTTTCTTTTATATTATGAGTATTTATAATTTTAATTTTGCACAAAATATTAAATCTTTTATGAGCAAATATGTGTATATTTCTTTGTATAAGTTTATAATTTTCAAAAGTCATTTATAATTTATGTACATAACTTATAAATTAATGACTTAAATCATTTTTACTATGAAATGGCTTACATTTATTGTTATTGGTAGAGGGGAGTGCAATCATAAAAGTTTGTAAACCACTACTTTAATATCTGAAAAATAAGCCTTTAAACATCTTTAAGAATATAATGCTTCCACAAAATTTTTAATTTTGACATTTGACATTAATCTTATAAATTTAGATAAGACTAAAAATGATTTAATTTTAATTTGATCTACAATGTATATCTTACCAATTCTTTTACTTTAATTTCAAAATCAGACTTAGTCTGTTTAGATCTGTTATTTCCTAATATATCTCCATCAACATTAAAACCTAAAGCTTTATTTCGCGTTCTAATAGTTTTTACACACGCTCGAAATAAAGGGGTAATATCCATTATCGATAATATATTATTGTTTCCTAAAAAATATTAAATAATCAATTAAAAACTTTACTGTGTGTCAACTACCATATGTCTTCCATGAAAACATTTCGCGTACTGTTTGGAAGTTGCCAGATACACAAAAACAAATTTTCCTTATGTTTTGATGTTATGATACATTAATTGTAAAAAATATAACATTGCATCATTTAAATAATAATGATTAAAAAATAAATATTATTAATAGCGTATAGATTTAAAAATTTGCATGTTTCTAGCAAACAAAGCTTTTTTTTTTTTTTTTAATTCTCTCCTTTTCCGCTCTGTAGGCACTAAGATGGCCTTAAGGCGGCCATACACGTTAAGTTAATCCTTTGAAGCTGCCTGATCTTAAGGGACTTCAGAATTTCCACACACGAAGAAGAAAATGTCTCAGCGGAGACGTAGCTAGGGTGGGACAAGTAGGGCATGTGCCCCGGGCGCCACTCGCAGAGGAGCGCCAAATGGTCTCCAAGACAAACAAGATTTGTTTCTGGGGTGAGAGGGGGCGCCAATATAGTGTCGTGTCCCGGGCGCCAGTTATGTTCATTACGGCATTGTCTCTCAGTCAGTCAGTCAGTCAGTCGGCCATGGCATCTGATGACGACATACTAACTGTTCTTGAATGTTTATTGGCAACAAATTCTATTAAAACTCGTGGGAAAAAAGCATGAATAGAAGTCTATGGTTTAAATAGTAGTAGTAGTAGTGGTTTGGGTAGCACTGATCACAAAATAAATTTTCATATGAATAATTTTTTAATGGAATTATTTCAGATCACAAAATTATTTTCATATGAATAATTTTTTAATGGAATTATTTCAAATCACAAAATTAATTTTTCAAGAGAAATAGTAAGCTATAGATTCTGTTAAAAAGCATCAATTATCAGCGAAAGATCAATGGCAAGTCGATTTTACTACCAAAAAAATTCATAGATTAAATTTTATAGAACAAAAACCATCGGATATAACTGGCTGAATCGAACATAGTAATTTGCAAAACTTATTAAATTATTTCTCAACGTATAAAGAATTATTTTTCTAACTGTAAATTCTTAACTGTATGCTACAAAACAATTTTATCGTTTATAGACTAAAGAAGGGTGGGCGAAAACTGTAAACTGCCGGGCTGCAATTTTTAATTATATTTCAAATTTACTTAATTTAAAATATATAAAATTAGCAGTAGCTTGTCCCTGTACATCATACTTTTCCTTTAACAATAGAATCGTTCCAATCACCTATCTAACTCCTTCAGGGGAAAAATTTTGTACTGAAATAACGTGACTTGCAGTTTGCATCGAATACCTGTATATTTAATCGGGGCCTCCTTCCACTGGGTTTTCATATCTGATCTCGTCTCTCGTCTGTCTAAGTCCGTTCTCGAGATTAATGGAAGACAGCCAGACATATGGAAACAGTGGGGATTTATAGGTTTGCAATGTTTTCAAATCGCAGCCCAATCACACCGCACATTTCGTCGACATGCAAATACGATAAGTAAAAGAAGGGAAAAAAAGAAAGCGGCATCAGTCTTCAGGAATACAAGGAAATTTGTTGAAATAAAAACATTGTAAATTAAAAACTCAGTTTAAAAACGAGTTTTAAATAAGAATGCCGACATTCGAATCTGAATGACGAGATGAATACGAAATGTAATTTTTTAAAAAAAAATAATACGATTTATTAAAGAAACGATACACTTTTAAGAAATTCGTAGGAGGAAAACGTTGCAGACAGACCTGAAATAAATGTTTCAAAATTCGAGAAGCCGATTTCTAAATATACAGTTCAGAGTTGTAAAACACCGGCAATAAACGCGCAGAATTATTAATAAAAGCCGGAGATCAACAATGAAAAAGTTTATGTTTGTTGCCGACATCTATAATGCAACAAAACTTCCGANCTGTCACATTAGGTACTAGATCTCAGTACATAACCATATTTTTGGATAATTTGTAAAAGAGTATTAGTTTTATTTTCTTTTAAACTTGTCGAGATGCCATCTCCCAATTCCAGGGTCTGCATAATGGTTAAAACTGTTCTGAATTCTAGAAAAAATCATACATTTTTATCCACGCAAGATCGTAAATTCCACATTTTGCACTTGTAATCTCATCTATAATACTCGATACGTATGTATCGAAATTTGATTTAGATTTTCTCAATAGTTCTTTCTATAGACAACACTAAACACCTTACTATAAGGTGTTGTACCACTATATTTGCGCGATATGTGTGTTATCTGTTTTTAAATAAAAATACTCTTAAAAGATGTTTCATTTAAGAGTAATTTTGTCAACACCACTTCTCTGTAACGGACAGGTGTTCGTCGTAGAAAGATTTTACTGTACTCTATTTGAATGAAGATACAACAATCCTCTACGCGTTAATTATTAATCTTGTAATTTGTATTTAAGTTAAAATGTAATATTAAAAATCGACTATATGTATCACTTTTCATTGGTAGACGTGGCAATAAACTAAACGCCACTATTTTCGTTTCGGCCAAAGCTTTTCACAGCATGAGCACCAGTAAGTTAGAAGAGTTTATACAATTCACTTTATTTGCAGCATAAATTACGTATAAATAGCATGTTTTATATAATAGAAAATTAATTAAAAGTCAATTAAAAATATTGCATTAAATTTTTTAATAAATTATTATATACATGTATAAAGTTATAATTTCATACACTGTATTTAATTAACAAAGAAAAATTGCGATTAANTATCACTTTTTACAGGAATTATATATATTTAAAAGAGATTTAAGTCCATATATTAAGCCGTAAATAAATCTGAAGTATTTTAAAAATGTATATACTGTACAACATCGATTTAAAAACTTTGTTTTTTTTTTATATCGCCACGGATTTAAAGAAGAAAATTTTCCACATATACATGCAAAAAAATACTTCAAAAATTATTATATTTATTATATTAATTTTTATTTTAAGATATTAGAATTCCATTAATCATCAAGACAGATCAATATATAAGGACGGATATTCATATAGCTCATACATGTAAAGGATATAAAACTCGATATATATATGGCTGTATATATTATACGAAGCACAACATTTATTATAAAGTTTTTGGGTAGCGGCAATATTGGAAGAAAATAGTATTTTCAAAGATTTCGTTGAATGGCTGAAAGCAGACAATGCATAGTAATTTTTTTTTTTATTGATAATTTCATGGATTGAAGCGGTATTTTTACTTTATCGCTCCATATTCTACAGTTCATTTATTTTCCTCCACTTCTTTCATCATTCGAAGAATTTCTCCAAACAATTCATCCAAACGTGTTGCATCATCCAAAGAATTCATTTAAAAACTTTGCATTATCTAAGAATTTACTTCACCCATTTTTTTCCCTCAGTATTTAAAAAAAAACTTCTAATTTTTTTTATCATCATCCAAAAAATTTGCCCAAAATATGCGTTCTACCAAAAATTCATTAAAACTTCTTGCATTATCCAAAGAATTTATTCAGCTTTTTTTTCTTGCAATATCCAAAAGTTCGTCCAATTTTTTTGTATTATCCAAGGAAATTGAGGAGAATCTATCATCAATCACCCGCTAAATTCTTAAAAATATATCAACTGGATAAAATGAAAATCAACAATTTAACATTCAAATTTTAAACCTTTCATCACTTTGTTGTTGTTTTTTTTTTTTTTTTTTTTTACTAAAATTTGGCAAATCCACATGAACATTTTTTAAAATTAAATTTCACCATTATAAATTGTTTTTAATATTAACAATAAATGCAAATTGGTTCCTACAATTAATTAATGGAATTTCGATAATATTTTAATGAAAAAATTAATATAATAAATATATTCTTAAATAATTCATATAAATAAGTATATAATAACTATTATAAATAATGGAAAATATGTGACATTACATACACGATTATGGAATAAGTAAAATTGGTCGAAAATACTCCGAAAATTCACATAAAAAAATCACGTTTTAGTTTTAAAGAAGCTTAAGAAATTTTGTGTTTGTTGTTGAAATGCATAGTTAAACGTGAGCCACGAATTCCGGATTGAGATATGAAAATCCAAGAAATTCCGTTTGATCCATATTCATAATAAATAACTTATCACTAGGAGTCATATCCAATTTTTCGCTGGTAAACTGTTTGTCAAAATTACAGGTATCCTTAGGATGGTTCTGAAAATAAAACATGAAATTCTATGTATAATATTTGGTATAAACGGGTTTTTTTTTCGCCTGATAAAATTCAGTGTCTTGTTTACATTTAAGAGTGAAAATATTCAATATTCAACTTGAGAAAAAATGATTTATTGAAAAACAATACATGATGGTAACATGTGATCTCGTAGAACAATGTTTAGAATGCGAGAGAAAAATTGGGTTGGGTAAAAGAGAAAAATTCATCCAAAATTTTTTTTTAAATGTTTTTTTTAGGACACATCACAATATATCGTCTTACAATATACAGTATAAAGAAATATTAACAAGATTCTCACACAAAATGTGAGTGTGCATAAAGTTAGGAAATGTGAGTAGCGAAGATTTCTATCCAAAAAATTTCTTAAACATCGATTTTATTAGAGCTATTTGGCTTCGCCCCTTAAATCCCGTATTGAACATGGCGTAGCTGCTTGACTGGAGCATTTCGTAAAGAGGTAAAAGCTAGTATATTTTCTTCAGGTGTTTTGGGAACAGTCGAGTAGCCGTTCATACGGTGAGGTTTTTTTTTTTTTTTTTTATCAATGGAAGACACGGAGTGAAAATTAATTGGGTATATAGATTTACAAAGCACTTAAGGAGCATTCCTCGGATAATAATGTCCACCTGGAAGTTAAGGAGCATCATTGGGATTCTGTTTCCTTATTGAGCCTGGCACAATCGGTCTTCCGAAAGGGTTTTATTTTTAATGTAGTAAGTCCCAAAATTACACGTGTTTTATAATTTAAAATATTTTGTAATTTTTTATATTAATATATTTCTTTTTTTAAAATTTATTTTGATCGATTTTAAAATTTCATTCTTAACTTGAGTGAGCAAATTTATTTATGTACACATACATACATATACCGTTATTGTTTTTTAACTATGTTCAATGTGTTGTGTGTATATGAGTGTGTATATGTTTGAGTATATATAATTTGTTTTAAAATATGAACAATATTCTACTATATTTTTTGCCCCTTGTGTTATTATTATTATTATTAAAAACCCGTAATTAACAAAAGCTGAGTATTGAATTGAGCACTCGGGAGTCCTCACAGTGCTTCTTGCTGATTGTCATCAGAAGCAGATCTAAGATATAAAAAATGGGTATCGTCCCCTTAAATTTGGCACACTTACAATAATATATAACTAAAAAAAACAATGAAATAAAAGACTGACTCGTTTTGTCCTTAAAAATTTCAATGTATAGAGTGATGCAATCCTGATTTTTTAGTTATTAAAATTTCGTTTCCACTCGTATTTTTGTAATTTCGAACGACAGAAAAGGCCTCGGATTAAAATATAAATTAAAATTCAAACGAATCGACCTCCATTGACCTTGAATATTAATTCATACGCTTAGTAAGTGATAAATGCATTCTTGAAACCTTTGCGGATTTCATTCTAATGTCGCCTACTCTCCAAATATATATGTATATATATATTTCTTTTGTTTTTGTTTTTGGGAGAGAATAAAGAATAATCCGTTTCGTCAAAAAACTGGTGCAGCCAAAAGGATAAAGTGTAAAATGGATTCAAACTTTCAAACTGGAATTGTGGATAGGAGGACTGAGGCAAATTGTCCATGCTGAAATTGGTCAAAAAAATATAGAAACGATCTCAGTTTATATTTTTTCACTTGTTCTTTGATTATGGAAAAACGGGTTGACAAAGGTGAATCCTTGGAACTCGTTCCCTGTCATGCTACCCACCACCATTTCGTCTGCGGGTGTCAGAGACATACTGGCGTTTGTAAAGATGGGATCGAAATTCTCTGCTGCCTTTGAATCTTTCTGTTTGGAAGACATTAAAAACAACGTCAGTAATAACATCCCTTTCAATATTCATGTAAATATAAAATCTAAATTTAAAATTAAGAAAAGGGTTGAAAAAAAAAATCACACGAGTTTCATATTATCACTGTGTTTTTACATGCTTAGAGCATTGATAGTGACTCACTGAGCATTTATAATAAGAATTTATGACGAGTAATCTTATCAAGTAATTCTATTTACGGATCCTGTTTTAAATACAGACATCAAGATCAGAATTGTTTTAGTGTTTGCTACTAGCTTGCGCCATTGAAAGCACCTAAACAAAAAAAAAACAAGAATAAATGCCAATATAAATTGAAAATTAAAGAATAAATTAACTTTTAAACCCCCTACTCCAGGCATTTTTCTTACTAAAACAGTATTGTGGACAGCTTAAAATCTCTAAAGTAAGCTCATGTATGAAAATTTAAAAGTTTAAACATACATTTCATAAACAAAATTCGATATTTTATAACAGTAATTTGTCTTCGAATGAATTTATAAACGTGTTAATGACGAACAATTTATATCTAGTACATGTTCAATATGTTATACTTGATCGCACGATTAAAATATTAGAAAAAATATAAACTGGTATAAATTATTTTATAATTAATTGATTGTATCTTCACTATTTTATAATAGCGTTCACATAAATTTATATTAAAATGGCGCATGCTAGCAGAATCAATGCTCAAAAATACCGACGATACAATTATAAGTTACATTAAAGGGAAGAAAGACTAAAGGAAATACATTAACCGAAAAATAAAAATGTCAAAATAAATTTTTTACTTCATCAAAAAAAGGTAAAAAATTCTCTGAAAGAACCAGTTATGAAAATATGGGGTAGCATGACAGGGTGGAAATAAAGAAACTAATTTCCGAATTAAGAGAATAGATAAAGAAAGATATACGAAATATAACAATAAAATTTGTTCCAGATTTTTTTTTTATAATAAAAAATATATCTTATTTTATAAAAAAAATAAATAAAAATATCTTACAATTTTAGGTTTAAAAGGTGGTTGTACTTCTCTACTTTCTATCTTTAACCAATCGATACGCCTAAAAAAAGGATGACCTCTGATATCTTTCTCGTCGGAATGACCACAACCCAGACGTTTCGCTGGATTTTTTGTTAAAAACTGTAAAAATCATAAACGATAATTCATATTTAAATATATCAAAAGATAATTTGGATAATTCGTTATCAAAATTAATAATTTTGAAGTAAGTATAAAGGAAAATAAATATAAAAATTCCTATTCTAAAAAGAAATATTTCCGAAATTTAAAGGAAATCGTAGAAAAATATCAGATTTTGAAGATTATTTGAAATTTCTTTTATTGAAAGGCGATTACTTAAAGCAGTACATTGAAATATCCGTCTTCTTACTTCTTTCGACGAACGTCGTTCAGATAAATATATTTCTCGTTTTCCACGTAGAAGAAAAATAAGTTTCACATTAGAGTCCGGATTCGATTCTTGTCAGGAATTCCAAAGGGAACAACTTCATCTCGAAATTTCCTGACAAGAATTGAATCTTAACTCTTCCAAATCTTGTAAGTAGTAGTAAGATACCTTTCACATGAGAGAAAAGATAAGGTCAATTTCTCTTTTAAAAACCATTTCTTTCTATGTATAAAATGGTTATTTCCTGGACTTACACAAACAACAATTTTTTTAAATATAAATATGTTTGAATTTGCACAATAATTCTTAGATTATACAGTTTCTTTAAATAGTCTTTAAATGTATTGTAGAAAATTCTATTTCACATTAAAGGGTTATTATGATAGAAAACTGAAGTTTTTTACCATGTTAAGCTAAATATACTAATAAAAATATTCCCGTAATGTAACGAATTACGGTTAATCTACAAATGTACATACCCCTTTGCAAACATCTTTTGCTTCTTTTGATAAAAACTTTGGATAAGATACATTATGATCCGTAATTGAAGCAAATAATTCTTCTTCGTCTTCACCATCAAATGGCGGCTAAAACAGACAATTTTTAATTATTATTTTAAGTATTTAAAACAGTAAAGTGAAGCAAAACCTGCAGCGAAACCCGTTTAAAACATTACATTATTTTATAAAAATTACTTTCCACAGCATTTACTTATATTTACTTATTTATAATGTTGCTGATTTAAATGAAAATACTAAAAAGCACCGATATAATGAAATGGAATTAAAAGAAATAAATAGAGGCGACATAATTCAATAAATTAACATAGAAAAAAGAAAAAATATTCCAGTTCACACAGCTTTAACTGTATTTACAAAAATAAAAATAATAAGGCTAATATATTTTAAACACTATTCAGGTTTTCAGTGGATAGTTGTGCTGCTTATTCAAGTTATACATAGAAATAAAGTCGCCGAAAGTATAAAACGTATCCTTAAAATAATTTAGATGGTGTGATAATTAGACCTAATTAATAAATATAAAACTTGTGACGTTCTTTCATGTTTTAGAATACAAATTGGATAAAAATTAAGGTAATTTGGGCCAGGAAAAAATTAAAACACTCTTATGCATGCCGCATACAAGTTATTAAACGGTAATTTTAGGTTTTTTCAGTGTGTTTCTGTCTATTTAATGAATTATTATTAAAATATTAGTGCAGTAAAATATATTCTATAGAGGTATCTATGAGGTAAACACAATTAATAAAACAATTCAGGTTAATTAAATTCTGTTTATAAAATTATAAGCAATTGGGTAAGTTTATCGGGTTCGTATAACTTGGTAAACAAGGTGATTTTGTGCATGTATCATTTAATTTCCCACTGGAATTAGACGCAATTTACTATCGAAATACTCAAAAAATATCCGTAAAATAATTTGCAGTATATAAATTATTACAAATTTAAACACGCAATACAATTACATTCGAATTCTATAAAAATTAAATATTATCAAATAGAAATTTCATCAATACATGGAGATGAAAGTTGTTGAAGCATGTATCGCTGCTGGCAATTAGGGAAAAAAAAGCATTTACACGGATCGAGTCAATTAAATTAGAAAAAAGCAGTCTATTTTTGTCAATAAACTCTATCGATTTTGCTGATTAATTGTCAAACGAGAGAAGTTAAGCGTGTAAATAAATCGGTCATTCGAAAATATATAACATTTTTCGTGCATCTTTGTAAATTTCCTTCTCATGTTTCAATGCTTTTAGTAATTCCAATTTTATTTATTATAAATTATGAACCCAATTCGACAAATATATTTCAATTAAATACGTGAAAAAAATAAAGAATTATATTAAGATCATTAATTATTTTTCTGGCGGAATGAATTCATACGCCATATTATTTTGAATTTATTATGGAGAATTAAGTGATTGTTTCTTGAAATACATATGAAACTTTTAAATTCTGTTCCATCAGACCAAAGAAAATTTCCATTTACAAACATTTCTGTCTTATATGAAGTCTGTTTCATTAAGATTTCATTATGTAATTAAATTATTAAAACTTGTATTAATAAAATTTCACACAAAAAAAAATAACGCTAGGGCTAATTATGATCATTAACTAGACTAAGAACATTTACTATTTCGTTAATACTTAAATTCATTTGACCTTACCATATTATAAACTAAGTACTGTAAAGTTGAATAATTAACTAATTGCATAACTAAGCATACCATAATTTAATTGTGTTTATAAATCAGAATTGAGATGCTATAACACATGCATAGTAGGATTAATTTGTCAAAAATCTTTAAAATAACTATCAACTTACTTTATGAAAGGTAAAAACAACAATATTACATTTTTGTCTTACCTGTCCTACTAACATTTCGTACAATAACACTCCATAAGCCCACCAATCTACTGATTTTCCATAAGGCTGATACAGAATGATCTACAGTACATTGCATATAAATCAGACATTGCATCCGTATATAAATTGTAAAATAAGTTATTATGAAAAATATGTTACCTCTGGTGCAATATAATCTGGAGTTCCGCAGAAAGTTTTTGTTGTATTATCGTTCACGATATTTTCTTTGCACATTCCGAAATCGGCTATTTTAATGTGTCCATCTTCATCCAGTAGAACATTATCCAACTTTAAATCTCTTGAGAAATAAAAATAACTATTTACACATCCACCAATTAAACTTAAGTATCCTATTTAAACATGTTAAAAACTTAATCACAAACAAAAGAAAACATGTGGCAAATGTGCTATATAATAAAAATTTTATTTTATACACTCGACTCGTGTCTATACTCACCTATAGATAATGCCCCTACTGTGTAGGAAAAATAATCCTATGGCAATTTCTGCAGCATAAAACCTAATTACGCAAGCAAACTGTTAAGAAATTTTCGTGAAATCTTCAATAAAACTTTACTAAAAATGGAATTAGACTTACACTGCAACGGGTTCTTTAAATTTTCCACACTGTTGTATTTGAAACATTAAATCACCCCCATTAACATATTCCATAACGAAATATAAACGATCCTGTATTAATATTATGCCTATTATTATTATATAGCATAAATAATGTATAAAATCGTTATTAATAGATACAAACTACAAGTAAATTAAAATCAGTATTACAAATAAATGCTTAAAATGTCTGCATAATAAAAGTTTTCATTAAGAAAAATCAAAGAAATATTTTAATTAAATGTTATAAAATTTAAAATAAAATAACAAAATAGACTTTGATTATTTGAAGAATGTAGTAACGAGGTTTTTCTTTTTTTATGGAAGTGTATGCATGGAATTACGCATATTCTGCAAGTACTGTACGTTTGTTTGTGTAAGAAAAGCGACACGTAAGTAATCTGCTGAAGGGGAGATGCTTCCAGGAGGACTTTCTATAAAAAAACCAAAAATTTCACGTGGCTATCCCGTTAGTCAAGCTCGAACCCATGACAGCTACTACTGTTCAGTGGTGGACTTCTTCATATACGGGTTAAGATTACTGAATGATCGAATATTCAAATTATATTAAGTATTATTTTCAGAAAATCGAAGTAAATAAAGACTGACAAAAAAAAAAATAAAAATTTCTGTTTTTAAAAATGATGATAAAGATCTAATTTTAGAACGAAAATGTTACTATTAACTTTGGCTTCTTTCGAGTAACTGTTTATTTGGTTAGAATATTCAATACGAAGTTAATTTTCATACATTTTTATTTAAAAAAAAAAAGCCTCGGTTGTTAGGTATGTGATTTTGAAAGTTTTACATACAATATCAATACTTGTAACATTCATTAATCGATATAATTATCTACAAGTCTAATTGTTATATCATTGATTTTATGTCTCAGCTAATACAAATTAGCAAAACTTAATGAAAATATTAGAGCGTAATTCCAACATCATAAAATATTAAATTCTTTTTTACAAAGTAGTTCGAAAATATATTTTCATGTCGATAAATTATTTATCATGCATAGAGTTTAATTCACATACAGATTATTCTTATATTTTATAAATGCTGAAGTATTGTTATCAAACGAGCAATTATTTATTGTGACATGGTCACAATGCCGGGCAACATTTTTAATTATATTTTTAATTTATTTAATTTAAAATATACGCTCTCCACTTCAAATTAGCAGTGGCTTGTCCCTGTACACCATACTTTTCCGTTAGCAATGGATTCGTGTCTAACACTTTTCAGGGAAATTTTTAAATTGAAATAACATGACTTCCGGTTTGCATAGGAAATTGGTATATAGTTAATCGGAGCCTCCTACCACTAAAGTTTCCTTGTCTTGTCACGTCTTTCATCTATCTAACCCGTTCTCGAGATTAAGGAAAGGCAGACAAACGGATGGATGACAGTGGGAATTGATAGATCTTCATTTTTTTTTCAAATTGCAGCCCAGTAAGTATAATTTGACAGGGGATTCGCTTTGCTTTGTACATTGAATGTGGTAGATATTTCACGAAATGTATATATAGTCACTACAGAAGATCCTACAAAAAAAAGAGAAAAAACATTGAACAATCAACAATTAATTGGAATAGTCCTGTCTTTTATTAAAAAGGAAAGAAATTAGCAATTCTGTATGAAATAAATTATATTTATAATACTCAAGAGTATTTTCTCTTTATGCTCCCATATTAATTTATTGATAAATAGCTCTTAAAGTCTCAATATAAGATTTTGCACGAATCAATAACGTAATAAAGAATGTGATTTTGTTCACCCCCTTTGAAGCTTAATAATTCCTGTGTCCTTTGTCGAAAATTTCTGAAATTTTGCAGAGGAGTTTGTGTATTAAGGGTGATCTATGCTGTTAAGGTCGAGGAGGTGGGGAGATAGATTGGGTCGTGTGTCGTATCTCGAGTGGGGTGTACTTAATGAAGATTTTACTCGTCATTAGCATTTACAATTTTTTATAAAACTCGTCTCTACCCTCGAAATTAAGCTTTCTACCATTTTATAATAATAATATAAAAATTTTTTAAAAAATATCGTAATAGATAACGCCATACAAAATTCTAAATGTCTTTGCCGTGAAATTTACGCAACTCATTGCTGTTTTCTTGTTAAAAAAAAAAACTTTACGTTAAGTTAATTAAAACCTTTATAATTCTTACCATTGTTTGAAAACACGAATGCAATCGTACTAAAAATGGAGGTTTTCTAGATAAGGCTAAAACCCTCTTTTCTATCATGGCACATTCAACATCGTCATCTTGAATTATAATATCCTTTTTTAATATTTTAATAGCATACAATTCATCAGTTCCTTTACGTTCTGCAAGCATAACCTTCCAAGATAAAGAAGAGTATTAGTATGCATAACATATCTTAATTTAAAAATTTAATTATTACAGAAGCACCTTTCCGAAGCTTCCTTTCCCAAGTACTTTCAGAAAAGAAAAGTGACTGTCTCTGATAGCATCTTGCATTCCTACATTATGAGGAATATCTGTAATTTCTGAAAACTCTTTCCTTTCACAGCTCAGAGGAAGTTTAGACTGTGGAAGAAAACTTTTTATGTATTATTTTAAAATTATAAAAACATAAAAAAGAAAAATTAAGAAGACCATACCTTCAATTCATTGCTTAGTTGATAACTATCCACACCTTCTGGTGGTACAGGAACATTATAAAATTCACCTTCTTCAGCAGTAAGAAGTTTAAACCAACCTTTTGCAGGCTTTTTCAGGATTTCTGAAATTCCAAAGGACAAAGATCCCATGAAATCGTTCCTCGATGTCCTATCCCAATCCCATACTTCTATAAGTAGTCTACGATCTTTATCTTCGGGTTTCAGATCACTTGGAAAATATGTGAAATTTTTAAAATACGGAAAATTAGGGTGAAACAATATGAAAACACGAAATACTTACAAACTGATTGTTTCATTCCATTGAGGATTTAAACAAGCCTTAATCGTTTTCGTTTTCTTCTTTGAAGAATCACCGTTATCGGGCACTAGTTTCAATTTAACATAAGGATCAGAAAGGCCGTTTGGATCCATTGGAATCAAATTCCTTGCTTCACATACTGAAATGGGATGAACAATTTTTCAATATTTTTATCAAAGAAATATATAAATAATTTATCAAAAAATAGTTTTAAAAAATCTGAAAAAAAAACATTATTTAAATATAATATAAAAATCAGATTTGTTACGTAGAATATAAAACACATCTGTGTTAACTATTGAAACAATTAAATACATGACTACATAAACAAAACTACACACAAGATTCATCTCTATCGAAAGAATCGATCTCGGAATCTTTGGATTATAGATCCACTTTTCTCGGTAAGTATTCAATAAAAAAGAAAATTTCAGCTAATAACAATAAAAATCGTAATCAGTTTTAAATTAATTTCATAAATTTATACTTTATAAATCTTATAAAATCCGGTTCAATCGAAAGAATGTCTTCAAGATCCTAACTCATTGTGGGACTTTAAGAAAGAACCAATTCATGTTGTCTAAAATGACGAAGAAACTTTTAAAAATATACAGTAGAACAGTTTGAATAGTGTTAATGACGACAATATTAAAATAGATTCGTATAAAAGTCTTCCGGGAGGCACCCTCTTAAAGAATCTTCCACGTGTTGCATTGCCTTATCCCAATCAATCCAATCCAATCTTTATTTTCTCTACATCATATTTAGTCTATTTTCATTATATACTTTAATTACACATCTAATACAATTCCAAATTTAAGAAAACTATAAAACATCTTTGATTGATACAATTCTATGTAAATACATCCATAAACATTTGCAAAATCTTTATTACTTTTCCTATTGTTATACAATATAACATAGAGAAAGTATGACGAGTAGTCAAATTTTGACCCTCATACTTTTGTATTTCTTAACGATTTGAGGATCACAGTCCAAAAATAAAAAAAATAAAAAAAATATTATAAAACTGTGTGGGGGGATCGTTTATTTTTCATTAGGGGAGACCGGGGCAACTTCGGCATGCGGGGCAAGTTTGTCAAGCTCTTTTTTTTAAAAACAAATTAAAAGGAGACTTTGGTTATAGGTTAGGCAGTTGAGTTTTATTGGTGGCTTGTTGAGTGTAGTGTTTTTATTGTTCTCCAACAAGCGTAGTTGAATTATCAAGCAAATTTTCATTTTCGTTCAATTCCATATAATATTTTTTTTCCATTTATATTGAATTGGCAGGTTTTGTTATAATT